AAAAAAAAAAAAAAAAAAAAACAGTCCTCGGGGACTTCTTGGGGGTGACTCGGTGGAAGTACCAAGAGCTTAAGCTCCTGGCTCCCAAAGCTTGTTGTCCCCAGCACCCCAACTTACCCAGAAATCCAAGTTGTATTTGATATTCCGGAAAAGGCCGCCTACCATCGCAGCAAGATGGATGACATGGGTGGGCTGGACCTTCTGGAACAGAGCCTTGGTTTGTGCTGCATCCCTGAGGGAAGCCAGTATGTCACGGGGGCTGGTGAGGCCCGAGGAAATCAGGAATTAGGAGCTTGGGCAGTGGGTGTAGAAATTGGTTAGGTCTAAGGCGAGATGGGTGGCCAAAGCGACAAGTAGCCAAGTTCAGGGCTTTAGCAGGTATTGGGTGTGGGCACCCAGAACTACAGGAGGATGTTTACTTAGCACAGCCAGCAACCAGAGCCAGATCAGTCACCTGGCAGGGAGGACCCAGACTCAGGGAGGGCTACTGCTAGGCTCAGGAACAGACCCAGCAGGGCACTCTTCAGCTTGGAGAGGGACCCGGGAGGAGGGGTTAGGTCTGAATATGGCCCCAACTCACGTCAGATCTGCATCTTTGGAGGAGACAAACACCCATTCCTCTCCAGGTAAGCCGGCCCCGTCTGCGACCACCTTCTGGATGGCTCTGCCCACCAGTCCAGAGCCCCCTGTCACTAGGATCCTCATGGATCCCTGGGGCTCACCCATGGTGGCTGCACCTGGAGGGCCAAATGTCGTGAGCTAAGGAGGATATCGGACGTGCTGTTCTCCCCGCCCCATTCTCTTGAGCCAATGGGCAACAGGCACCGAATCAAACTCCCAAGGAAGAGTGACGACGGGCTGCCAGACACACCCAGCTCTGTTCCCCCTAAGAAGTCCTTTGCCCTGGCCGCCACAGGTTCCTGCTGGCTGCTATCCAAACCAAAGCAGCTTGGTCCCAACCCATGACCCTACTAAGCAGAGAAAAGGGTACATCCCGTCCCTACGACTGAAAAGTTAGGGCTGGCAGTTCCAGGAACAGAGATCTTAGGTAGCGGCTGCTTCACGCCAACTCTCACCCTTTACAGATAGACAAGGGGCGGTACCCTGCTTGGAGCTCCGGTATCCACTAGTGCTGAGCTAATAGCCTATGGCATAGGAAGGCCTAGTTCTTCTAGGGCAGGGTGCACGGCTGGAAGGCCTCGGGTCGCTAAAAATATGCTACAGTCCCAGCAGGATGGCTCTGGCCCAGCCTCATGGCTCCACCATCATCCAGATGAGCAAGGGCCCGGCCCCTACACCCCATGGTCCCCTACCTCGCAGGCCACTCACCCCAAGCCCACGGAGACCTCCGATGCCAGACGCACTCTTACGGCCTCGACCAACCAGCAGCCTCTGGGGTCCCGAGTTTGCTGCGCTGCGCCCACCGGAGAGCCTCACCTGCGCCGGGTTCCACCAGTCCGAGAGCTGCTTCCGGTGCACAATTCTCCAGTTACTCGCGGTCCAGGTGGAGGGGGCGAGGCCCTCCCGGGGAGCTCTGGGAAATGAAGTCTTCGTCGTGCACCAGTGCGACGCGGGCGCTTCTGGGAAATGTATTCCGGGCTTCGCGTAGAGGTCTATGGGCGTGGCATGGGCGCTACCGCTTTGGTCTCCGGAACTGCAACGCTGAAGCTGCTCACCCAAACCCTCTGGTGGTTGTACGGACACAGGTCCCCCAACGCAGTAGTGGGCTGGCCAGGAATCTCTTATTTCTTATCCTGCAAGGAAGAATCACTTCCCATTGGCCCTTCTGCATGTCTTTGAGTGGCCAGGGGCCTCCTTCTGGCTGAGTCGGCATCCGGCACCAAGCCTCTAGGTGGTCGGTCAGTTGTGTTTCAGCCAAGAATACACAAAAGACTCAGATTCCTTATACCTAAATCAGTATTTTAAAGCAGTGAATAAAATCTCTCCTACCACCAGGCGGTAGTGGTGCACGCCTTTAGTCCCAGTACTTGGGAGGTAAAGGCACGTGGATCTCTGTGAGTTCGAGGCCAGCCTGGTCTACAGAGCGAGTTCCAGGACAGTCAGGGCTACACAGAGAAACCCTGTTTAGAAAAACCAAAGCCAGGGGCTGGAGAGATGGCTCAGAGGTTAAGAGTACCGACTGCTCTTCCAGAGGTCCTGAGTTCAATTCCCAGCACCCACATGGTGGGTCACAACCATCTGTAATGAGATCTGGCGCCCTCTTCTGTATACATAATAAATAAATAAATCTTTAAAAAAAAAGAAAAAAAGAAAAAGAAAAGCCAAAGCCAATAAAAAACAAAACTCCCCTACAATTCTGGCATGGGCCCGCTTGGCTGATATTTTAAATTTTCATTATGAAACACACTTTAAGATGTTGTCGAGGATATTACACAGAGAAACCCTGTCTCGAAAAACTACACACACACACACACACACACACACACACACACACACTCATCTATCTCTGTATCTATATATAGGTTATGCATATATACTATACATATGGGTTATTAAGGATGCCAGTAGGACAACAGATGATTGAATTCATCTAATTATATCAACTGGGCTGGTAGTGTCGATTTAAAAATACAGACACAGGCTGAGGCTATGGCTCAAATAGGGGCATTCACCAACAAACAGGTCACTGGAGTTCAATTCTCCAAACCCAAATAAATTATGGAGGGAGAGAACTGGCACACTTGTGTTTTTCCACAATATCAGAATTTATTGGACGTGAGAGTCTGCCAGAATCCAGCTCCAACATGCTTCTACCTTTCGAAGGGTTCTTAGGTGGAGGAGAGGGGAATGAGGAAATATTAGGTAGAAAGATAGACCTGGACAAGGAGGAGAAAGAGACACAGGATAGCTTCGGGAGGGGCCTGGGTCCATACCCAGTCACCCAGAGCTTTATTCAAAAGGGCTTTTATAATATGCCAAGGGAAGAGGCAAAAGGGCTCACCCTTGCAAGATCAAATCACACCGTACAGCCAAATGTAGACCTTTCTAAACACCTGGTAACCACGCCCCTGGCCAAATCATTCTATTATGCAGCCCTGCTGGTTAAAGCAAGCTCAGATTCTCTGACCTTGAGTATGGTCTCACTAGGAATCCTCTGTTGGCCACCACAATTGGACAATAACAAATTTAAAAGGCATAATGATTTCACCAAGTATATACCAAGCAATATACCAAGTAGTCCTGATTTCCTTGATATGGAGCTGAAGCAAACACAGGTTACTTTATTCCAATCTTAACTATGATTATTAACTTTGAGGTTACAGGTTATACAGCACACAGTGAATCTATCCATCTACATGCAGGCTACAGAATGTCTACAGTGGGTTACAGAGGATTCAGCAGAGTTCGAGGAGTTCCAAGGTGGCTAGAGAAACAGAAGCAGAAAGCTGGTAGGAAGGACAAGAGTGGGTAGGAGTCAAATTTGTAACTGTCCTGTGACACCCCTTCACCTGTGCGAACCAATGAGTTTGCTGGGGTTACTATCAGGAGGAACATCACTAACAAGTCCACCCTAGAATGAGTAATGACTCGGGAAAGCTGAGACCCTGGAGCTCTCTGCACGATGTGCAGTTAGCTGGGCAGGTCTCCCCTCCGCGGCTGTCCTTACTGCTTACAGAATCTTAGGAATCTGGTTTTAGGGACGTCTTGAGGCCCCATGTGTTGTTTGCTTCCCAAGTCTTAAGGAGCCTCCCTGGAGTGGGATGTTTCAACATCTTTTATTTACTGCTTGACAATTTAATGCATGTATACAATGTATTTTTATTTAATTCACATTCATTAGCATCTAGCCCCCTACTCCCTCTGAACCCCGTCTTCTGAGCAAGCAACCCCCCCAATTTTATGTCTTTTTAATGACTCATTAAATATAATTAGGGTTGCTTCCATGAGCTTGGGTATAACATCATTATTGGAGCATGGGCAACTTCCCACACTGACAGACTTGAAATCCATCTCTGCTGATTACATTTCAAAGGAATGACTTCAGGTCTTTCAAAGACCTTGCTGTGTGGAAAAGATCCCTTCAGAGTGGAAAGCCCTTACCTAAATTCTCTAGGAATTTAGAGAAGTTTGAGCTGGGGTTATGCTCAGCCTGCTGAAGCCTCTGGAGCGGTTATCTCTTGAGCAGAGATCCAGTCCCTGTCTAAAATGTCTTTGGACACAAGCTTAGAACTGTTACCATATTGTTTAATAATGATAAAGCTTTACTGTAATCATCACCTCCCCCCCCCTTTTTTGAGACAGGATGTCACTATGTAGCATTGGCTGGCCCAGAACTAGCTATGTACACCAGGCTATCCTCGAACTCACAAAGATCCACCCAAGACATGTACCCAGCTACTAATTATTGTTGGTATTTTTTTTTCTACTCTTACCCTTTGGGAAGCCTGCCACCCAGCTCCCAAATAATCACATGGAGACTCATTCTTTCTTATGAATGCCTGGTCTTAGCTTGGCTTATTTCTAGCCAGCTTTTCTTAAATTATCCTAACTATCTTTTGCCTCTGGGATTTTACCTTTCTATATATCTTTCTTCTTACTCCATGGCTTGCTGTGTAGCTGGGTGGCTGGGCCCTGGAGTCCTTCTCTTCTCCCTTTCTCACTCCTTTCTACTCTTCTCCTCTTCCCATTTATTCTCTCTGAATGCCAACCCCACCTATCCTTTCTCCTGCCTAGCTACTGCCCATTCAGCTCTTTATTAGACCAATCAGGTATTTTAGACAAGCAAAGCAATAAAGCTTCGGAGTTACACAAATGCAACATAAAAGAATGCAACACATCTCTGCATCATTAAACAAATGTTCTACGGCATATACAAATGTAACAAATCTTCAACTAATATCCCACAACAACTAATCATTCCTTTTAATGTTAATTTTTCCTGTGACTACGGTAAGACAGTGGGTGGCGGTCCTAAATTGAATCCTTAACTAACAAGTACTAGACTATAGTGCCTAGCTTCCTAGAATGGAGAACTGTCAGCTAAGCAGACCCTCTCTGTCCAGTCAAACTACACTTGTGGCAACCATGATGCCCTTTTTTCCTCTGTGTGTACCCTGGATCTCGCTCTGTAGACCAGGCTGGCCTCGAACTCACAGAGATCCGCTTGCCTCTGGGATCAAAGGCGTGCGCCACTGCTGCCCGGCTACTGTAAGGCTGTTAAAACACTTGAAAGATCTCAGATAACTGAGGAAGCTACAGGACGACCACACTTGCTGCTGAAGCACAAGTCCAGCTCCAGAAGGCACTGGATGACTTACCACAAGTTTCACATAGCTTGCACCCACCCTTTGGCCATGAGAAGCCTGGGTTGGGACTGCGGAGATGGCTCAGTCAGTAAAGCGCAGCACAAAGAGTGGAGTTTGAGCCCGTGGCTTTTTAAAAAGTGACCCTCTTCTGGTGTCTTTGTCACTGACATACATGCCAGTAAAATAAATATCCATACACATAACAAAAAAGCAAGCTCTGCAGGGAGGCAGAGATCGAGGGATCTCGGGGCTTTGTGAGTTCCAGGCCAGTGGTGAACTCTGTCTATAAATATTTATTTATTCATTTATCTAATATGTATGGGTTTTTTGTCTGCATGTATATCTGTATATCACCTGCCTATCTTGTGTCCTGGGAGGCCAGAAGAGGGTATTGGATCCCTTGGGACTGGAGTTATGGATGGTTGTGAGCCACCACCCTGTGGGTGCTGGGAATTGAACAAGGGTGCTCTTAACAGCTAAGCCATTGCTCCATTGTTTTGTTGTTTGTTTGTTTGTTTTAAACAGAAGTGAGCCAGGTGGTTGTGGTGCATGCCTTTGATCCCAGCACTCGGGAGGCAGAGCCAGGTGCATCTCTGTGAGTTCGAGGCCAGCCTGGTCTAAAGAGCAAGATTCAGGACAGGCACCAAAACTACATAGAGAAACCCTGTCTCCAAAAACAAAAACAAACAAAACAAAACAAAAACAAACAAACAAACAAAAAACCTAGAGGTGGATAGTGCCAGAGCACCACCAAAGGTTGTCCTCATCACACATGTGCACACACATAAAAACACACACACACAAACAAACAAATACACTCATGCATGCACGCACACGTATACCTTGATGAACACTAACAGCCATTTTCAACTTGACCAGACAGGTACACTTCTCCTGGTAGCCAAACAGAAGGTCCATGATTGGTGCAAACAGTTTTTGTTTGCACAAAGGACTGTAGTATAATTAGTACATGCGTGATCCTTCATTTGCCTTAAAGACTGCTGTAATTGGCCCAAACAGTCCTGTCACATTTCCTTTTGCATAAGCAGGCTACTTGCTTGTTTTCCAAGACAGCTGAGTGATAACTCGCTTGTGCTGCATCCTGAAGCCCAACTGAAGACTTCTCTCAAATGGTCTTTCTTTTACTACTTTGGTTTTGAATCAGGGTAGAGTAGGCTTATCCGGTCATAGGAAGAGCTGGGGAGCGGTAAAATGGTAGCAAAGACAAAGATGGTGGCCGCAGCGAGAAGGCGGTTCCAGATAGCAACCATTATCGGGGAGCGGAGGCTCTGGAGACTAGGC